TATTATTGTGTTCAAACGGTGTAAATTCCTCAATTAGTAAAATCCTCTGCAACTCCGTGGATGTAGGCAATTTGCCGAACCACGTAAATCTGTGTGTTTTTGGTGTGAATTTTCTCGTGCTATATTTATTCGCTTTGTAGTCGATCGTTATAAATTTCAAAGTTACTATAACAAATTCATCAGAATCAAACTCCTAGAACTTAATTTTCATGAGCCAAATCTAAAAAAAAAATGATGTAGCAAAAACCCTCATTATTTTTATAAGAATATTAAGAGAAAAATAAACAAATTATAAAAAAAAAAATAATCAAGTAAAACATATTATAACTTCGTCCTTCAGAATAACTACACTTCTCCTCTAAAATATAGTCCAGAAAATTAGCTGATTCTTGCCCAAAAGTACTTTTTTTTCTAAGCTAAATCTTAAAAATCTTTTTTTTTTTTAAATTTAACTGCATCAAACACCATCTTCAAACAAGATACAATCAGAGAGCTTGAACATCTTTTCATTTCTGACGCTCAAAACAAAACATAGACAGTAACAACTTAACAAATTTTGCACATAAACTGTCGTCCCTCAACAATATGTCTGCACCGCAAACTTAAAATTGAAGACCTGCAGTATTTGAAAAAACAGAGAAAGAAGAGCAAATAGAACAACAAAAAATAGACTATTTTTTCTTTCTCTATTATGTAACACTATATATATAGAAGAGGAATGTAGCAAATGAGTACATACAGAATGGGACCATCCGCAGGAACCATTGGAAAGAAGTGGAAGTATATTACAATATCATGTAACGAGTAAGCAGCAACTGATCAAATGAAAAATGGAGAACAATGTATATGACTGTTATGGCCTCTCTTTTATATCAGCAATATATATAGACTTATCAACTCCCCGCAAGCTGATAGACCAAGTATGGACTGTAAGCTTGTTGCAACGATACTGAAAACAAGAGGTAGAGAGTGATTTGGTGAAAATGTCCGCTATATGATCTTGGGAGTTTATATGGTGCACTCTAATATCTTTTGACGCGACACAATCTTAAATAAAATGGAAATCATTAACAATATATTTAGTCCTAGAATGAAAAACCGGATTATTTGCTAATGCCAACGCAGATACATTGTCACGAAAAAAGGAAGTAGGTATAGATGCATTAATACCAAATTCACAAAAAAAGACTGTGTAACCACATAATATCAATTGCAACAGTGGCAAGAGCTCTATACTCAGCCTTTGAAGAAGAACATGCTACAGTAGACTGTTTTTTAACAGCCAAGAAAATAAGAGTTTTACAAAGAAAAGAACAGTACCCAGTTGTAGATTTCTGGTCAGAGGGATCTTCTGCCCAATCCGAATCAGAGAAGAATTGAAAAAGATGGGAAGCTGCATATATTGGAAAACCGCTCGAGATCTTGCATTTAATATAGTGCAACAGTCATTTAAGCAATTGAAAATAGTTGGCATGAGACTGATGTATTGACACAAATTATTTATAGCATATGCGATGTCCGCCCTAGCTAATGTAAGATATTACAAAGACTCTACCAAATATCTATAGAAAGTAGGTTGTGCATAGATTGTAAATTGATCTGTATCAGCAAGAGGAGTAAGAATAGATTTACAAGCCAACAAACCAGCTGGACTTAGTAACTCTTGAGCATATCGGGATTGATTTAAATGCAACCATAGGGTGTGGGCTGAACATGCATACCCAAAAAAAGATGCATAGAACTATGTTTTCTCTTATCAAAACGAGTTGCAAGCTAAGCAAGAATGTCATTAATAGAATTATCATTATTACCTGAAATAAGTATATCATCGACATAAAATAGTCATAGTGGCAAACCATTGACATGGAGCTTGTTTCAAACCATAGAGTGCCTTATGAATTTTGCAAACCATTGACGGGGATCTTTCGCATGTGTTTGGGTTCTCTTCATTGAAGAAGGTGTGTAAATAGAAGCTCGAGAAAGGGGGATTGATTGTGGAGAATGTGTTGCTGCTCGCAAAGCTCTGCGACGCACAAAGGCTCTCTCAGATCCGTAATCGTATGATTATTTATAATTTGGGGAGGTTTTAGAATCTGAGGGATGGAAGGTGATGAGAGAGAGCAATCTGAGTGTGGGGGAGATTCTTGATTGTGTTGTTGAAGATGATACGGTGAGTTTTGCATTATTTATGAGTATTTTCTTAGGGGCATTTAGATACATACCACCCAATTCCTAAGTATTTATATGTCTCACCATTAAATTGTGGAATAAATAAAGTGGGCCAGTATATAAAAATTAAAAACAAATATTAATTTTGTATATTATCCAATTATATCTAATGAAATTGGCCCTTATTTATTGTATGAAGCGAAATTTTTTTCACATAAAAATTCAAATTAATAAAAAAATATATATAAGATTCAATTCATTATATGTGTTCAAATTTTGTTGTATTTTAGGTTGATTTTAGATGAGCATTATAATACTCATTCACAATTAGAAGCCGTCAATTCATGTATAGCCCGACTCGTTAAGTGGTTCGTGATCAACTCATTCGTTAAGTAAATTAGACGAGCACGAACATATTGTTTAAGCTTGAATTATAAACAAGATGTACACGAACAACCCTTCCTTTGATCTAGTTCGGCTCATTTTAATTCGAAATAAATAAATTATATATTTTACTTATATAATAATATATCATTTATTTATATCTAAGTTTAAATCATAATAGCTGATATGGTCATGTGGTTCTGTGCTTTCTATTGCATAGAATTGTTGCAAGTTCTAATCCAACATCTTATATTTATTTTTTTTAATAATTTTAAACGAGTTATTTTCGACCTGAGCGTGAGTCAAACACGAACATATTGTTCACGAACAACTTTGAACAAGCATAACACGAAACAAACCTGAACTCGCTCCAGCTCAGCTCTGTTTTAGCCCTAGAATCACAATAGATTAACATTAAAAGAAATAAATTGCAAAATTGATATCAATATGCTTTCTTTTGATTGCTTATATATCCCTGAAACACTAACCAGAGAAAGAAAGTGAGGTTGAAGAAGATACAATTGGGAAAGATCTACCTTCAGCAACACGAAGCCATGGAAGCACTGGTTCACATCTGCAGAGATGACAACAACACCATTGGCCCCCATGACAAACTCCTCAAGCAAAGCTCCATCCCCTGAGTTCATGGCGGAAACAAAGAAACATGCGCATTGTTTCTAATTAAGAATTCAAGAAAGCCGGGAAGAAAAACGATAGAGTTAATGTGCAGCAAGAAAGATAAATTTTCATTAAAAAACACAACATTACAATAAGATAAATTTTCAGAATACATCATAAACTAAAACTACAATAACGAAGCAACATCATCTTCTAACTAGTCTATCGCTCCATCAAATTGATTTCTGCTCTTCATCTTCTCTTACATCTCAAAAGCAGAGGCTTCGAAGCTGTCGGAGAGTCCGGTACCAGTCTTGAATGTCAGCTTCTCAGAAGTGGGCTTCTCGAAATAAACTTCGACAACAGAAAGCCATAGCAGCAGCTCCTTCGTCTTCACGCCGGTCATCTTCTTCAGCTTGTACTTCTCCACGAAGGCCGTCACCTCCGGTGCATATGACACAGCCCTCTTTATTTGCTTAAAAACGTGATCTTTCTTCTTCTTTTGTATCAGCCATATGAAGCCGGCTTCGCGATTGTAGCCGAATTCCTCAATGTCTTCTAGGGGAAAGAGACCTTTGGGGAGGCAGAGCTGTTCTAGCAGTTCGATGGACTTCTTCTTGCAGAGTTCGTCTCCTCTGTAAATCTCAGCACCTTCGCGGTGGTTTTGGATTGTCTGAGATGCCATTGTTGGAATTAGAAAGTAGAAGACGCAGAGGAAATTAAGTGAGAATAGATAGGAAGCAGAGATGAGAGGGGAGGAAAGGCTGAGATTCGTATTTATAAGAGCCTTTGTGCTTGCTGAGAAAGAAGGCTGTTGACACCTTGGTGTTGAAGACCATTTCCGAACGTTTAGGAAAGAAGAAAGTCAACAGCGGCGGTAATTCTTAATATGATCCTTAAATAATGGTTTTTTTTTTCTTATATATAGTTTTCTAATTCATTCTTTTGACCGCCTCTTTCATGTCTACAAGTCCCGACGGCTAACAACCAGGATCACATCATCAACGGATGACATGGGTCCGGATGGAATATACTATCGACTAAAAGAGGTCGTATGACAACGAGTTAAGTGAAATGTTGTGACGGTCATTTTGAGTAATAAATTGTGGAATGCGATAAATTCGGATTTTAAAGATTTCGTTTGTAAATCCTGAATTTATTAAATCCAATAAAACGATGGATTTAACTTTCCACGCTTCGGATTTAAGGCAAAACCCAATAATGACCGTGGCGATAAGCTACTACAATGTATTTCTTCCCCAAACAACTAGTTTCTCTTCCTCTTTGTTGCCACACAAGTTCATTGAATTTACATTTAAAAAAAAAAAAAGTAATGGATGGAAGCTATTATATGAGTCTCGACCATTCCTCATGCGCCAAAAATTCAAGTATTACACAGTACATTTGAGAGGAATCTAACCCCAGATCAGAAAAGATTTACTACTGACAAGCGTATGACTGGACAGCTGATCTGATATGTGGCGCAAGTTTCATGAAATTTACATGATTTAATAAATTCACTGCCAAATAAATTTTCAAATTTAACAAATATTTACATAAACTCGAATATATGAGATTTACTGAATCAAATTCTAATAAGTTATATATCTATTTCATAAATAATGCAGAATTTGACCCATTCCATATCCAACCAAATTATCTCAGACGGCGCCGACAAACGCTTGCTTTCAACGTGTTGACTACGCTGACATTTGATTTCCTAAGTTAGAAACTTCTTCCCCAAAGTATGCAACGCAATAATTGATTTCCCTTTCACACTCCTCTATATGAGCAGCCTCCCACCATCATCTTCCCCCACAAGCTCTCAACTTTCAATCTTCAAAACACTGAAAACTACTCATACAACCTCTCCTCCCACCTAATGGCTTCTCCGGCCATCTCAAACCACCGCGAAGGTGCTGAGATTTACAGAGGAGATGAACTCTGCAAGAAGAAGTCCGTCGAACTGCTAGAAGAGCTCTGCCTCCCCAAAGGTCTCTTTCCTTTGGAAGACATTGAGGAGTTCGGCTACAATCGTGAAGCCGGCTTGATATGGCTTATACAGAAGAAGAAGAAAGATCACGTTTTTAAGCAAATTAAGAGGTCTGTCTCTTATGCACCAGAGGTGACGGCCTTCGTGGAGAAGTATAAGTTGAAGAAGATGACCGGCGTGAAGACGAAGGAGCTTCTGCTATGGCTCTCTGTTGTTGAGGTTTACTTTGAGAAAGCTACATATGAGAAGCTGACATTCAAGACTGGTACCGGACTCTCCGACAGCTTCGAAGCTTCTGCCTTTGAGATTTAGAGAATTGAAGAGGGCATTTGCAGGCTTGTCCATGAATTTTAATTCTAATGTTGAACTTTTCTTTTCTTTTTTTCTTTTTTTCTTTTTTTTTAATTTAAGTTTGTACTTTAGTGGTTTTTTTATTACATTGAATTGCATTTTACATGGAGATAAGCCACAAATAATGGTGTGAATGGGTCAAGTAGAGCTCAAGCAACTTTTGGCATGAGTTCGAATTTGATTAATTTTATGGAGTTTAAGCTTGAGTTTAATTTACAAATTTAAGCAAGTTTTTTTTTTTATAAGAGCACAAAAGGCTCCAATTTTATTACCACAAGAAAAAAATTACAAAAATTAGGAATAGGATCCCAACCTAAACCCTATACAACTCACACAAAGAAAAGAAAAAAGGGCCCTTATCCCAAAAAAAGAAAAAAATTCACCTCACACCACACCCAAACCTCAACAAGGAACACTATTAAAATAAATCCTTAATAGTCAAAGCTAACAAATGATCAGGAAATCTAAAGAAAACTTTGGCAATCAAACAATTATACCCAAACTTAGCATTCCAATGAGCCACAAAATTTCATTTTCTTCGAACATGAGACCAAATGACATTCATACTCACAGTTAAAGCTTTAATTCTCTTCATCTGAATCAAAATACTCCAATGTGCCTCGTTAGCATACCTGCAACACTTCCAACTGATCAGAGAATCCATTTCAATAATGACAATATATATACCCAGCCTCTTAGCAACCATAAGTCCAAAGACTACCGCATCAGCTTCAGCAATTAATGGTGAGCAAGGAATAGTCACAACTGCAAACCAACAAACAATGGATCCAACAAAATCACGATAAACACCACCCACACCAGCAGCATTCGGTTTCCAACAACCATCAGTATTCATCTTGAAATAAGGAGCATTTGGTTTACACCAATTAACTCGATTAAACTGCTTAACAAAAAGATTGTGTAACACCATCTGCTGAATATAGCCAGACAACATATCCAAACCTTTACCTTTAAAATTAATATGAGTCAAACTTTTGCACAAGTAACCAAATATTAGACCCAATGTATTGCAAATATTGGGTTTGTCACTTTTAAAAATGACATTATCTCGAGTTATTCATATAAACCACAAGACCACGCAAGGACCAAAATTAAAGAACACCTTACCAATATTCTTCCATATGTTAAACAAATCAGAAATAGAATGGAAATAAAGATTAATTCTAAAATTAAGGAGTCTCTCATTAAGCATGTCCCAAATTTCAGTAATAAACCAAATTTCAGTAATAAAACTACAGTTCAGTAATAAAACTGCAGTCAACAAATATATGAGTAATAGGTTCCTCTTTTTCCTTACAAAGGATGCAACTAGAAATAAGTCTTAAACCTTTCATCTTTAGAGTTTCATCAGTAGGAATGAGGTTATTTAAGACACGTCCTATAAAGAAAGACAGACGGTTTTAACCATGGATTCCAAACCCAATCCAAATTCAAACCATTAGATATCGTAATAGCAGAAGCAAAGCTTTTGGTAATCAAATCATCTAACCTTTTTTTTATAATCACACTAGCTTTCTTATTACTAAATATAGGAATAGAGGTAATGAATTTAGCATCAATAAGATTAACGGACTGCATCAGCTTATCCCTCATCCAATTATCCTGAGACCATAAGTGATTAACCTTTTTATTAATATCAAGAGAGCCTCCATAATGATTAGTAAGAGCCCCATTACCCATCCAATCATCAAACCAAAAAGAGCATTGCCCCTTCCCGAGATCCCAACACAAGGAAGTTCCAGCTTCTTTCAAAATCTTCAACATTTCTTTCCAAATAAAAGAGTCTTTTTGTCCTAAAAGTGATAGATATATGATGTTCCTCAGCACAATATTTAACATTTTTGACCATTAATAAGTAAAGAATAGAATATCTTATTCATGATTCTATGAATCAGAGAACAGAAATTAGCAGGAAAGCCAATAGTTTTCAGAACATCCATGATAAAGTCCCAACGTATAGAGTCAAAAGCTTTCTTAATGTCAAGTTTAAATATCACATTACCACCTCTACTCTTATTATCAAAGTCCATAAGAATTTCTTGGACAGCCAGAGCATTGTCACTAATATTCCTCCCCAAAATAAAAGCAGTTAGATTATTAGAAATAATCTTCTAAAGGAAAGGATGCAGTCTGTTAACCATTATTTTGGAAATGATCTTAGAAACCACAGTATTAATACTAATAGGTCTAAACATTTCCCAAGAAGAAGCATTATTGGATTTAGGAAAGAGAACTACAATTGAAGACTTAAAATATCGAGGTAAATCAACTCCTCTGAAGAACTCCTGAATTGTCTTAACCAACTCAGGATGATTATTCTCCCAGCCATTCTTATAGAATTCAACAGTATACCCATCAGGCCCAGTCGCTTTCTCATCCTCCATAGAATCAAGTGTGCTTTTGATTTCCAAAGCACTAAAGCACTAGGTATACTATATACTAGTAAGAATCACACCAAAAGTGTCAGAAACTGTGTTATAAAAAGAAGTATCAATAGTTTGTAAAGAACTCCCATCAGATGTAAAGATGTTAGAAAAGTAATAAATGTCATCATTAATAATAGCTTGTTGTTTAGTTAAGATGCTGCCATCACTACAACAGATTGAAGTTATAAGATTGCTTCGTCTTCTGTTCTTAATACAAGCATGAAAATACACTGAATTTCTATCATCTTCCAAATAGTGAATTTTATTGGCTTTTTGAGCAAGGAAACATTCCTCCATCTAGATAGCTTTATTCAATTCCTATTGACATTGAAAGAGGACATCCCATTCTATGCATTGGTTGGCATAATCCAACTCAAGAAAATCAACTCTATTTCCAGGCTCCTCTATAACCAGGTTAATATTCCTAAACACCTCCCAATTCCAGCTTTTGAGTCTTTTGGCCAAATTCTTTTGCAACTTCCACAACTTATACCCCGCATTTCCCACAGTCGAATTTATCCAATTTTCTTAAGGAATGTTTTGTAATTGTCATGAAGAAGCCAAATATTATAAAAACATAATTGGTAAGGGATTTTTGAAAAAGAATCTCTCGTTTTCAACATATAGGAGCATGATCAGAAGCAGTGATAGTTAAATTAGTAACTTCATAACAAACCATCTTGTTAGCCCAAACAGCATTAGCTAGGTATCTGTCCAATCTTTCAAACGTACTACTTCTATGCCAAGTGAAAGGAATTCCCTTAGATCCCAAATCAAAAAGACCCACATCCGGAATAACATTGTTGAAAAAAGAGATGAGATTAGGATTAGGAGCAACTCCTCCATTCTTCTCCAAAACATAAGAAATCCGATTAAAATATCCTCTCAAATGCCAAGGCTCAGAGTTAATATGTTAGATATAATATTCCAGAGATCTAAACGAGCTTCTTTAGAACAACCAGAACAAATAATTGAAAAAAAAAAGAAAGAATCATTATTATGATGAATACGGAAATGTAAAAGCTGCTCATGATTGATAAGTATATCAATATTTATGAAGTCCTTCCAAAACAACCAAATTTTATTGCTAAGGTTGGCTAAAGTGTGAAAAGAACCAAACCTTCTCATAAACTTACATTATTCTTAACAACTATCTTCGATTCCAAGATATCAAAGAAATGCAAATTATAAATACGAATCAACATCTTTAATCTTGTAGAGGCAATAGTTTTAGCTATGCCCCTAATATTCCATATTATAGCATTAAACATCATCGACACTTGATTTTCCTCTACTGTACCTTGAGGAAGATTGAATTACCTCATCATCTTTACCTGACCTCAGAGAATTGAGAGCTTCTGGATTAATATAACCAAGCTTTTTTAAGCCTTTTAATTTCCTTTTTCTTGAAGATCTTTATATTAGCAAATCCTCTTCAAGTTCTTTTCATGTCAAATTCAAACTGTCATCTATTGCCGAGTACAATGTAACAAAGCACTATCCATCCTTAAAGGATGAACAAATATAGAATCTATTGAATATAGCACTTTTGGATGAAATAAATGAAGCTTGAGTCTTGGTAAACGATCCAAATCAGAACAATATGTGCTCCCTCAGAAGGATTAAAATTTGGTGTCCATTTCAGAAATTTCATATAATATTTGTCGATAGTAATGAATTTCCAAATAAGGAAGTGTAATCCTCCTCTTCTTGTAATTTAATCATGAGATTACGACCACAATAAGACCCAAACTCCATTTACCCACAAGCTTTAGGTCAAAAAAGAACTTTCGAATAATTTCAAATCTCGGATGCGTCAAAGCAAATTTACCAATCAAGGCAAACTTTAAGGGTTATGTAAGAATGTTGGTCTCCTATGTAAGAATGTTGGTCTCCCTTTCTTGAAAAAGTGGCCGGTTTACCGTTCTTTTTTGTTGGTTTCTTAAAGAGATTATGACGAGAATTTTCTTCCATTCGATCTTTGAATGAATTAGGAAATAGAACATTAGGTAATTCAGAAAGACAACATCCCTGTAAGAAGGCACATTCAATCGACTTGTTCAAGCCAATATAGAGCTCGGAACGAGAAGATTCGAAGAACATGCAACAACTCCAAGTCAAATCAAAGCCGAGAAAGTCTTACAGTTGATTCAGAACAATCTCTCGACAAAATCTAAGAATCGCACCAAGAAACGTCATCCCGTCCAAATTTAAGCAAGCTTATTTACTACAAAAGAGAGAAAATACTATTAATTTAAAATAGTATTATGATAAAATGATTGATACAATGAGCAACCAAGATTATAATATTAAAATTGTACTTGATATAAAATATAAAATGTTATTTTTTAAAATATTTTTAATAATCTAAATATAATGATTAAATTTATAATATTATGAATATATTTTTTATTAATATTTTTTAAACAAACAGGCTAATGAGTCGAGTTGAGGCTAGCTTGAACTCCACAAGTTAGCTCATCAAGCTCAATTAATATATTTTATATTAATATTTTATTTGTTATTCCTCCAAATTTAGACCAAATTGCATTATTAAGAATTCAAGAAAGCCGGGAGGAAAAACAATAAAGAGTTAATATATGCAGCAAGGAGGATAAATTTTCATTAAAAAGCACAACTTTACAATAAGATAGACTTTCAGAATACATCATAAACTAAAACTACAATAACAAAGCAACATCGTCTTCTAATGAGTCTATCGCTCCATCAAATTGATTTCTGCTCTTCATCTTCTCTTACAGCTCAAAAGCAGAGGCTTCGAAGCTGTCGGAGAGTCCGGTACCGGTCTTGAATGTCAGCTTCTCAGATGTGGGCTTCTCGAAATAAAATTCCACAACAGGGCGCCATCTCCTTCGTCTTCACGCCGGTCATCTTCTTCAGCTTGTACTTCTCCACGAAGGCCGTCACCTCCGGTGCATATGACACAGCCCTCTTTATTTGCTTAAAAACGTGATCTTTCTTCTTCTTTTGTATCAGCCATATGAAGCCGGCTTCGCGATTGTAGCCGAATGCCTCAATGTCTTCTAGCGGGAAGAGACCTTTGGGGAGGCAGAGCTCTTCTAGCAGTTCGATGGACTTCTTCTTGCAGAGTTCGTCTCCTTTGTAAATCTCAGCACCTTCGCGGTGGTTTTGGATGGTCTGAGATGCCATTGTTGGATTTAGAAAGCAGAAGAAGCAGAGGAGATTTAAGTGAAAATAGATAGGAAGCAGAGGAGAAAGGAAGTGATGAGAGGGGAGGAGAGGCTAAGATTGGTATTTATAAGAGCCTTTGTACTTGCTTAGAAAGAAGGCTGTTGACACTTTGGTGTTTCCGAAGTTTGAGGAAAGAAGAAAGTCAACAGCGGCGGCTATTTTTTAATATTATTGCTAAAACAGTGGCTTTTTTCATAGTTTTCGAATTCATTTTTTTATTGGACTTCTCTTCATGTCGACCAATCCACTGTAAGGAGAAAAAATTCCATTCAATCATCCGATATTGTTCGTCAGAACAACCGATTAATGATGGTCACGTCATCATATAAGTCATTGGCAAGCGATATGGCTGTCGATGCTTGGTCATTTAGACGTGCAAGTCTTCGAACAGATTATTTTTTCAACTATATGAGATTGCATGACAACGAATTAAGTGAGATGTTGACAGACCATACAGACATTTTGACTATTAAATTCTGAAATGCGATGATATCGGATTTAAAAGATTAAACTCTGACCCATTCCACATCCAACCAAGTCTATCTCAGACAGCGCCGACAAACGCTTACTCCCAACGTGTTGACTACGCTAACATTTGACTTCCTAAGCTAGAAACTTCCCCCCAAAGTCTGCCACGCAATAATTGATTACCCTTTCACACTCCCCTATATAAACAGCCTCCCACCATCATCTTCTCCACACAAAGCTCTTATCTTTCAATCTTCAAACCACTCAAAACTACTCATACAACCTCTCCTCCCACCTAATGGCTTCTCCGGCCATCTCAAACCACCGCGAAGGTGCTGAGATTTACAGAGGAGATGAACTCTGCAAGAAGAAATCCGTCGAACTTCTACAAGAGCTCTGTCTCCCCAAAGGTCTCTTTCCCCTAGAAGACATTGAGGAGTTCGGCTACAATCGTGAAGCCGGATTCATATGGCTGATACAGAAGAAGAAGAAAGATCACATTTTTAAGCAGATAAAGAGGGCCGTGTCATATGCGCCGGAGGTGACGGCCTTCGTGGAGAAGTACAAGCTGAAGAAGATGACCGGCGTGAAGACGAAGGAGCTGCTGCTATGGCTCTCTGTTGTTGAGGTTTACTTTGAGAAAGCTACATATGAGAAGCTGACATTCACGACTGGTACCGGACTCTCCGGAAGCTTCTGCTTTTGAGATTTAGAGATTGGAAGAAGAGATTTGCAGGCTTGTCCACGAATTTTAATTCTGATGTTGAACTTTTCTTCAGTTTCTTCTTCTTTTTTTTTTTTTATTTAAGTTTGAAATTTAGTTGTTTTCTATTACATTGAAATGCATTTTACTTTGAGATAAGCCACAAATAATGGTGTAAACTGGTCAAGTAGAGCTCAGACCACTTTCGGCGTGAGTTTGAATTTGATTAACTTCATGGAGTTTGAGCTTGAGTTTAACCTACAAATTTAAGCAAGCTTATTTACTACAAAAGAGAGAAATTATGATGAAATGATTAATAAATGAGCAACCAAGATTATAATATTAAAATTGTACTTGATATAAATTATAAAATTTTTTTTTTTAATTATTTTTAATATTTTAAATATAATGATTAAATTTATAATATTATGAATATATTTTATATTAATATTTTTTTAAACAAACAGGCTAATGAGTTGAGTTGAGGCTAGCTTGAACTCGACTAGTTAGCTCATCAAGCTCAATTCACAAGCCACTTGAATTGAGGCACTTATCGAGTCGAGCTCGAGCAGGCTATGAAAAGACGAATAGAAGTCATATAAACTGATAGGTTGCAAATTTGTGCAAATGGCTGCTTTGAATGCTTGATGTCTTCCTAATCAAGCGGAGAGCCAGCGGCTCTCATTTTTAATTTCAAAAAAATATTGAACTATTGATTTATCTTTTCCTTGAAATATGACTTAAAATCATTCTCAAGTTGTAGAATACCAGACCAATTGGAAGATTGCAACATCTTCTCTCTAGTGGCCCGGATTTCAGCGCAGAAGTCAAGGTTAAGAACATATGGAAGAAGTGAAGATGAGATGGTAGAATAAAGAACTGGAGCGAGATTTTGATCCACAAGCATCCAAATATTATAGGTTGGATTTGGAGTTAACTCTCCATTTTCACCTATAATTTGAGGAGCAGGTTTTAAACAAGAACCATAGAGATATCCCGCAAATCCATTTGCATTAAATAATTTAAGGATTTGAGATCGACAAAGAAGATGATTATCAGTAGAGAGTTAAATATTGATGACAGACTTCATATTTGTCATTAAAAACTTGACTTGGGATGGAAATGGTAGATTGCTCAACTGGGTGGTGGTAACAGAGGAAGTCTCAGTTGTTGAAAGTAGAGAATCGGCCATTGTAGCAAGAGAAGAGGAGAAAAAAAGGAAGAAAAAAAATTCTGAAACAACGAGAAGGCCTGCAGCATTTGGAGAAACAGAGAAAGGAGCGAATGGAACAGCAGAAAATAGTTATATATACAATATACAGTAAAATATATAATATATGGAGGCTAAAAACGTTCATGGACAGATATATAAAATATGGAGGATTAAGATATCAATTACATGGACACATTTCAGTGTTTCAAAAAGCTTTTCTGCACCTTAGAGTGGCAGCAGTGGCAAAAAATGGACAGCCCATGGCTAAAAAACACAGTTGCTGCTCATAAAAAAATTTTCCTTTAATAGATATTTACATTGTAAATAGGAAAAATAAATGGGGTAAAAATGAAAGCATTCAGTAGCCACTCAAACCAGAAAAATGTTTTTTCATAGCTCTGTCCTTCCTATAATGATTCCCACGACCACCACCTCTCCTCCCTCCCCTTCCTCTAAAACCAGAGCTCCCCCTGCCTGAACTTTCTGCAGCAATGGATTCTTCCTCTTCTACTCTATCAGAATCTTCCAATACTTTAACAGCACCGAGAGGGAGATTTCCTCCGCGGCCGAGGCCATGAATGAGCTCTTTCTGAGCTTCATTCCATATTGCCGCATCTCTCACACTCGTCACGCCCACAGAACCAGACACTTTGTAGCTGTAGTTCTTCCCATCCTTGACATAAAACAATGGCTTCTTCTGTGAATTCCATCTCGTACCCGAACTTTGATCAGTTTCTATCGACTTCCCTGATGACAAATTGATCCCATCGCTTAAATTTTCCGTTTCCTCGAAACCAGATTCCACGGCGCTCAAACCCAAGTCGTCAAATGAATCATCGTATTCATCTTCGTACTCGAACTCCGCCGCAAGGATGGCAGATCTTATGGCATCTTTGGAAGATCTTGAATCCAGGACTTCGGAATCAAGAGCATCATTCGTGGACTTTCTTGTGAATCGGCCGAATGAAGATGGAGAGGATGAAGAGCCACCCGCATTTTGTCGTTTGAAATCGAGCGGAGCCGATATCGGATTCTTCTTTTGTGATGAAGGCTGCTCTAGCAGAACTGCTTTTCCTTTATCATTCAGATTTGTCTGATTGGATTGAGGAATCTGTTCTGCTGAAGTATCAAGAGAAAGAAGATCTTCATGCAAAGTTCCTTCTAAAATCCTTCGAATCACCTCTTCTGTGTCATGGTTGTAGACTTCAAGGCAGGCCTTGAGGAAAACTCCGCCATAGTCTGGAAATAAATCTTTTATTTGACTGATTTTTGAATCCAAAAGCACAGCTTCTTCGTCCGCCTGTGGCTGACTTATGTGAGACGGGATCGGCAAGGCCGGTGCACTTGCGGAAAATGTTGAAGAAGATGAATTCAGTATTCGTGACAAGTACTGCAACTGTTCTTCATCCAATGAAATCCATCCTGAGAAAAAAAAAAGGAAAAAAATTTATAAGTATTTCTAAATCTACAGGCAAAATGAAGGCATGGTATGAGAAATATTAAAGCAACAAAATATTTCTAGTTGTAAGAACAACCATTTTGTTGCAAAAGACTAACTCTCTCCTCAAGCTATCTCAAGTAAGATTCCTGATGAACAATTTCAAGGCTCTAAACATATAGCTTAGGAAAGGTTTAATACCACTCCATGAAGTCAGATTGGATTTCTCCATGAAGTCAGATTGGATTTCATGCTCGGTTATTTTTATTTTCATTTTCATTCATGGGGCATTTACATACATAACATCCAATTCCTATGTTTTTATATATCTAGCACCTAAACTTTAATTTTTACATTATACCACCCAAATCTTTCATAACAAATAAAAAGACCATCATTTTAATTTTTAAAAAGTGAAATACACCTTTTCATGCATAGATAAGGTGGCATATATCAAAAAATTGAAATTTAGGTGTTAGATATGTAAATACATAAAAATTCAGTGGCACGTAAATGTTCCTTTCATTTATTGCTTTATCCTCACTCTTAGTTTCCCATATTGATTCATCCGTTTGTGAGGCTAGCTCCTGTTATTGCATTTATGCATTCCTAGAATGTTTGAGTTTGAAAGAACTCCTAGAAGCATCTCCTGGAATCAAATATATATGCAAGAATTAAAGCAAACGAAAAAAAGGGGGAAATTTACATAACTAGCACACAATTCTTATGTATTTACATATCTCACATCTAAATTTTCATATTAACATACAAAGCATTTTGATACTTTAAACCTATGCATGAAAAGGTATATTTCACTTCTAAAAAGTGTTTTTTACGTGCTATGTATGTAAATCTTCCTTTCATTTGTTTCTTCATCCTTACTCTTAATTTCCCCTATTTATTCAAGTGTCGCCAGATCTTACTACCCTCGGCAGAACCCACATCCCATTGGCCCGGATCTACTACAACGCCGTCCACTAGTGTTGAAGAGCGAGGAATGCAAAAAACAGGGGCGTCCTTTTGCCACACCTACCATTTTGGAGGCTACAGTCCTGGGGACACTCACCAAGAATCACTCTTTTCCAATGCATTTTGGTATTTTAAACTTATACATGAAAAAGGTGTATTTCACTTCTAAAAGGTGGTAATAATCATATTTCTAATGTGATATTAAAGATGTAAGTGTTATGTGTGTAAGTATTAAAGTTTAAATGTGAGATATTGATAAGAACCAACACATATTTCCACACAGAAATTAGGGTAAATAATATTTTATGCAAAAACATCAAACACTCAAGACAAATAAAAGGATAAGCAGCTACAGTTCGAGAGGCTGGCGAGAGAAGTAAAAAATTTCTCCCAAACCCTAACGCTAAAATATAAGATTCGATCTCGTGTATAACTCTAACACTAAGCATATTAACCTTATTTATACTAAACAATAATAAATAATAAAAGAATAAATTCTCCTTAAGCTAATACAAAAAGAAATTGTTCTTAGGCTAGGCGTCGGTGTAACAATACTTTCCTCTCAAAAAAATACCTTGTACTCAAGGTAAGAAAAACTATTGTTGGATCAAGTCATATGGTTCACAAGGTCCGTTATCATCTGACAATCATTTCCATTTAATCAGAAATCGTAATTATCCTCAGGAATTTGAAATGTCATCTTGTACACATCATTCAGTAGCATCCTAATCTGGTGTTATACAAACTCCCAGTCAATCTCAGAGAATATTGTAGCCCCAAACAGTTCATCCCGCAGCTTATTGATCACCAGAATCTCTGCAAACTCCATATTATTTCTCTTTCATCTCTGCCAACTTTGATCCTGCTTGCTTCTGTTTATTCAAACTGTTTAAATGTTGTGTTATTTCTTCAATGTATTGCCGCTCGTGTCCACTCCTGATTTCTTCGCTCGATGTTGCAGCTCCCGATCCGCATCAAAACAATGTAGTTGCTTTGATGGTGTGAATCCTTCTGGAAGCAGCTTGTTGGCATCAGTTCGTGACGCCATCGCTCAATTCCATGGCGGCCAGAAGTGATTTTCATGTGAAACTCCATGATTTTCTTCATGATTTTGTGGATCTCCTCTCAAACTGCCCCTTCATGAAAGAGAAATATTCATCTATTTCAAATTTGATATGACTCAACTATTCCTCTAATTCCTTCTCCAAATCATTTACTTTATTGATTGTCATTAACACTCAATAAGATTTTGGATCAATAGAACTCATGTAAGTTGCAATTGTCGATTTGAATCGTGGTTGCACTGAATCGTGTATGTATGCTTAAATCCAAATAGCTCTGATCCCTTTTTGCTTCTCAGTTAGCACGATTTGCGCTATATCGCGGGATCAAGTCATGAGGTCAGTCTCCTGTCCGCCACGATCCCCACATGACCTAATCACCTAGCTCTAATCGCAATTATACCACGAGGATGAAGCAGGAGGAGAAGGATGGGCATTGTATGTCGTTATCCCATCGATGTCTTCCCAAGTCTGTAGTGATCCTGTCGTTTGGCATCCCCACTGTCTCACATCGAGATTGTATCGCAATCAATCTCGCTGAATAATTTCAACTCTATAGAGATCGATCCAGTCTTCGGCTTCCCGCTCCCAGCTAGCCCTTACCGCGATTGTATTCATGATTGATCCCATCTTCGACTTCCCAACTGGCCCTTATCGCAAGTTTATCAGGTAGCCTTCGATCCCATTATTTCCCAAAAGTTGCTTACTTCGATATCAAGTTGATAAAAATTGTCACATATTTGCACACAAAAATTAGGGCAAATAATATTTTATTGTAAGAACATCAATGACTCAAGACAAATACAAAGATAAGCACATACAATTCAAACGATAGGCAATATGTCCCAATTCCTACAATTCGAGAGGTAGGAAATCTCTCTCACATCCTAACTTTAAGATATAAGACCAAATCTCATGCATAACCCTAACCCTAAATATATTAGCCCTATCTATACTAAACAATAATAAAAAGAAAAGACAAAATTAACCTTAGACTAGGCACCCACGTAACATATATGAAAATACATGAGAACGACGAGCTATCATGCTATGTATTAATATATGTAAATGCCAAAAAAAAAAAGGTAATAAATTTCACATCTACAAACCAACTAATGACATAATAATAGCAGGTGATGATGTGAAGAAAAAAACAATTTGTACCTTGACTACAAAGGTTGTTGATTTTGCTGAATATTTTGTATTTTTTTTCAATGTTCTCATTAAAAGTCCCAAAATTATGATGCTCCACCTGATAATGTGATTCTCCATTTATCTCTTTCAACGTCTGAACCAAAATGTCGCCCCGTAAAGAAGGATTGTCAACACTAGCCGGAAACACCTTTGAAGTACTCCGAAGAAGATTTTCATCGGTGAGTTCGCCATTCAAATAACATGAGTCCAGCAACATCCAACCAAACTCAACTATCCTTTTTGACAGCATTTTAAAGCTGAGATAAATATTAGGAATTTCTCCATATGATTCTTGCCTATTATTTTCTCGGTCATTAGAGGCGAGTGAAAATCCATGCAACATCGATGGGATCAATGAATCATGCAGCCTAGCGATAGTGTTGAGTAGCTCATCATTCCCATGGCTGTAAAACACAATTGTTGAAGTGTTCTTTTTATAGATATAATCGGAACTTATCTTAAATTGCAAAAATTAACAACAAAGACTTACATACATAGCAATCACTTTTTATGTATTTATATAAAAAAAGTGTCAAAATAGTCTCCTGACTATTTACATGGGGCCATTTAATCCCAGAGTCTATAACAGTGTCAAATTGGTTCTCAGACTCTTTAAATTGGGGCAGAAATAGTCTTTCGTGGGAACTATTCTAACCTATATTACAAGTCCTGGGATAAATTAGCACTTTCATTGACTTTGGGACTAAAGTGAACCGCTGGAAAAAAAAAAAAAGAGTCTATTTATTCTCATTTACATATCTAAGGCCTATACTTCAATTTTTACATATATATACCACCTTTTCTCTGCATGAAAAAATGTATTTTACTTTTAAAGAGTTAAAATAGCGGTATTTTATGTGACGTAAAAGATTTGGGTGGTATGTATGTAAATGCACCAATTAACAAATGATTTGATGAAAGAATCTACCCAGTTTCAAAGGAAACAGAGAAATGGAAGGCTGCTGGTCTATATGTATCAGTAAATGCTTCAAACGTCATGATGGCATCATTTATGAAATCCATTACCTAAGACAACATAGGATCATAAGAAGTAATTAAATTATAGGGAAATTTACATTCCCAGCACATAATTCTTATTTATTTACATACCTCACACCTAAACTTTCATATTTACATGAATAGAACTTTGGCGCTTTAAACCCATTCATGCAAAGGTGGATTTAACTTTTAAAAAGTGGTATAAGTGCTATTTTTTATGTGATATTAAAGATTTGAGTGTTATGAGTCTAAATATGATATTTTAGGTGTGAGATGTAAATACATAAGAATTGTGTGCTAAGTATCTAAATGCCCCTAAATTATAACACTATAACAACTAATTAGAAATAACTTGCCTCCAAAAAATCATTAGATAGTTGCATGAACCCCTGACCACCGTCACCTCCACATGAAGCAAGTAGCTGCATATAATGAGGCATAGTTTACAAATTTCAAAATAAGTTGGGAAAAATTTATGACTAACTTACAGCAACAAAACATAATAGTTCAAGTAATCTCATAAAGCTAGAACTCCAGTTAATAATTGGGTGCCTTTGACCATAATACATGACTGAAAAAAATATGTGATAATACAAAATACATAAAATTATGCAGTGTTGTTGTGTCCTAAAGTTTTACAGAATGTTGAGCTAAGTGTCGAGTTCGAGTAGGCAGACTGCAGACTTGGTTGTCAACTGTGTCAGAGCTAGTTATTGGGCGAGTTCTCGGGTACCCCTAGCCGAGCGTCGCAATAATTTTGTTGAGTTCTTGACAAATCCATTTGTAGATTACCTTGATGCGTTAAGGGGGCATGCACAAGTTATTAGATATTTGAATGTACAAATACTACAACAAGACATAAAATATGAATAATGAGATTTCGAAAATTGCTCATAAAAATAATAAAAAAATAGATTGTAGTTGTAAGTCAAACTAATGCATCACAAAATTATACTTATTGATATTGTTGAAATAGATTTATGAATCTAATTATAAATACATTTGAAATTATATATAATTATTATAATATTATAATACTAATTGCTAAAGTATTTAATTATAAAACAACAAGATTAAGGAAAAAAAGAAACTAATACCTAAAAGGCATTTAAAACATAAATAGTAATTTGGCCAAATTTAATGATTATCAAAGCAAAATAATGTTCTACGCATTTTCATATTAAATACACCCACGAATAATATAAACTATAACATACATAACAGAGGTTAACATTTTGACTAAATTTATTGATAGTTACGATGGATTTGCAAGGTATTTCCACCAAAAGAAATTGAAATTTATGAAGTGCTACTTGTATAGAACTTTTTATAGTTGTGATCTTACGGTGAAAGAAAAAATAATTTTCAATTGAAAAAATGATGATAATTTGCCATAAATAATAAAAAAAGGACAATCTTCCCTAGCAAAAAAAAGCATGATTTCTTGAAATACTAGTTTGAATGCTTAGGTTCCTTGATACCCTGGAATATTATGTCCGGGGTTTTGAAACAATGGTGATTATTTATATTGGCAAATAGGTAAGTTATTGCGTGTATGCTAGGTTTTAACAATATTGTCTATTCACAATGAAATCAAACTAAAATGAGTTTTATATAGATATACAATTTAATAAATAATTTACTATTGAAACACTTGTGATGAGATAACTTTTACACCACAAAACTATCATGTCTTTCAATAATAATGGTAAAAAAAGATAAAAAAAAAAGATAAAAACTCTTTATATCTTCTTGTTTGCCATGGTCCTAAGACTCCTCTTCTTGTAACAATGCTATGGCAAACTTAGGATCATGACCATCACAACCTACTAAATATCTCATTTTCAAACCCCTCTTACTCAAAATTCAATCCATCCTTGCTAATCATAAACCTCATTCCAATGATATGTCATAGATCTCCCTCCCCTTCCCACTGGCATTAAAAATTGTTTTATCTTTCTCTCCAATAGTCTTATTGATGTCTCTGCTCTAGTATCCTTACATTCAAAACAAACACAAACTGCCCCCTCTATCACTCAATCAAAGCATATCAGACCTTCCACCCTCCACCTTCTGCAACAACTAGTGCATATCGCCTAAACAAACTCATAAAAACCCATCCACCATTAGCCTCCCAACTTCCATCTCCCTCAATCGTCTTCAATCCATCCCCACTATTCTCTACCCCAATTATCTTACATCCTCCTACCTAATAACTTACATGCATGAATATTGGCAATAATCTATCGCCAATCATGGCTCCAATTATGAAGGAGCTAACAAAATTTGAATCCTATGAGCTCAATTCATTCATGTTGATAGAGATTGAGTACTTTATTGCCTTTGCTGCACATCATTTTTTTTAATTGATACTAACTTTAGGTGTTCAATTTGAAAGCTATATGATCAATAATTAATTGTTCGGATATGGTAGTAATATGCTTGCTCCCTCGCATTTATGTTGATTTGATTACCATGCCATACCGTGTAGAAACAATCTGTTAGTTACGCTCGGAATTAATTAGATAACAATGACCATACAGGCAGTAAAATTTAAAATGGGGTACATACCAATGGGTTTGAATGTCACCATGCATTCTAGCTCGCAAAAGCCTCTGATGGCGAATCTCATGGCTAATTTATTAATCATTAAGAACTCGATCAAATGGCATCTCAAAAGCTCAAATCAAAAAGGTATCAACATTACATTCAAAATAGAGATTAAGAAATCAATAAGAATGATGATGACGTCAATGAGACGTATCAATCTATAAAATTTAAATGCTAAATTAAGTTGCGAACATGATAGGATTTTAGACCATATGGTTAGGAAATAAGTTGTATATTTTATATGCACTTCAATTTAAATCAATAGATCAAACTTTATAAATTGAGAGAAACATAATAAATTGGACAAAACAAAAACCTCTTTGTAATAAATCTGTAGCATAAGCTTCAAGATTTCAATGTAAATCAATCACAAAAGATATCATAAGCTATAGATTTGCAACAACAATCTATTACAAACAAAATTTAAGATGGACACCGGATTAAATAAACAGAAAAATAAGAATAAATTTCTGAAGATAAAAAAATTCCAATCAACCCAACAATCTCCATAAAAGAGAGGAATAATGTCAATTGTACGTATTGGACACGATTGAAAATGAAAACTAAAGAGCTACAAAATCTAGAAATTGGAGAGTATCAAACACTGAGCCGTGAAAATGAAACAAGTGAAAAGGGAACCATCCAATATGATGCAAAAATAATGCGGAGGTGGAATGCCTTCATCCACAAGTTTCATGAAAATCAGCAAAAAAAACTAATACAATAGCTGTAGAACTCAAGCAGAGAGATAAAATTATTAAGATTCATCACATCGGGGAGAGGAACAAAAGCAAAAGAAGTCGAACTAGGATGGGCGATGTTCATGAGCCCATTATCCAAATCCAGAAAGGGTGGCAGTTGATTTTTAGCATAACACTCACTTCTTATGTATTTACATATCTAACACCTAAACTTCAATTTTCACATACATGCCACCTTCCCTATGCATTAAAAGTTAAAATGGTGGTATTTTTGTTGTGATATGAAAGATTTGGTTGGTATAAATGTAAAAATGAAAGTTTAGGTTTCAGATATGTAAATACATAAGTAACGGGTGGTATCTTGCGTATGTAAATGCCCCAAAGAGGAAGTATTACACAAGATAGTTAAGAAGTGTTAGCGTCAAATATGAAGAATTCCAAGGAGAAAGGCCCAAGAACGAGTAAGGAAGGCATGGATAGAAATAGGGTTCGCATCGTGTTGAGTTCAAGCGAGAGTAAGGCTCAAATCAAAATTGAATATTTAGATTTCTAGTCAAGCAAAGTTTATGCTGAGTCAAAAATTATCAACTTCAAGTCAATTTTAAAGCTGATTCAAGCCAATTCCTTCAATTTTAAAGTTATTTTTCAATTTCAAAACAAAATATATGAGCGTGAGTATTAAATATATACTTAATGCAAGATTTTAAAAAAAAAATTATGATATCCCAATTTAAGTTCGGCAATATTTCGGAGATTTGGGAGTTTCTTGCTTACTATACTCTTTAATGCTATTTTAAAAACTAAGATATATGAGGAGTGGAGGAAGAGTATTTTAGTCCCATTTTTAAGAATAAAAAAGAAATTATAGAGGAATTAAGTTAATGTGTTGTACTTTAAAGTTATGGGAGAGGATAATTGGACATAGGTTAAGACGTGATACAAAGATTTCTCATAATCAATTTGAATTTATGACGGGCAGGTCTACTATGGAAGCTATATATTAATTGAGAGGTTTGATGGAGAAGTACAGAGAGAATAACGATGATCTAAATATGATTTTTATGGATTTAGAAAAAACTTATGATAAGGTTCCAAAAGAAATTAATTGAGAGGTTTGATGGAGAAGTACAGAGAGAATAACGATGATCTAAATATGATTTTTATGGATTTAGAAAAAACTTATGATAAGGTTCCAAAAGAAATTTTTTCGAGAGTTCTGGAGAAGAAAGGTGTTGACATGACTTATATTCATGTAATAAGAGATATGTATACTGGAGAGTTACTTGTGTTCGAACAGGAGGATTGACCAAGTATTTTCCGATTTCAGTTGGATTACATCAAGGATCAACTTTGAGCTCATAAATTTTTTTTTTCTTTAGTTATGGATGCTCTTACGGGACATTTACAAGAGGATGTCCTTGGTGTATGCTTTTCGCTGATGATATCCTTTTTGTGGATAAGACTGGAAAATTAGTTCAGGAGAAACTTGAATTATCTACATTGGAGTCTAAAGACCGTCGTTTGAGTAGAACTAAAACTGAATACATGGAATGTCATTTTAGTAGTAGCTCTAGTGACAAAGTTATAATTATGGGGTGATGAAATCATTCAAAGGTGTGAACATTTTAGATATCTCATGTTTATTATTCAAAGTGATAGTGATATAGATGGGGATGTTATTAGTAGAATTCAAGTTGGTTGGTTGAAGTTGAGGAATGCATTGGGCCTCTTGTGTGATTGAAAAGTGTTGCTTAAACTGAAAGAAAAATTTTATAAGATAGTGGTGAAACCTGCAATGCTCTATGATGCAAAATGTTGGCCTTTAAAAGAGAAGCATAAAACAAAGTCTGAGAATAGAATGCTTAGGTGGATGAATGGCTTGACAATTAAAGACAAATGTGAAATGAATGTATCTATGATAGGGTTGGTGTAGCTAAAAGTAGCATACAAAACTAGAGAGAGTCATCTTAGATGGTTTGGTCACATAAAACGTCGATAATCTGATGATCCGGTTAGGAGGGTAGATGTTTTAGATTCGACTGATGTTAAGAAAGGAGATAGATTTAAAAAGAATTGAGCATATTATATAAAAAATCATCTTAATCTATTAGAATTAAATGAAAATATGACACTAAATAGAACGCAATGGACAAAAAGGATTCATGTAGCCAACCCCAAAAAGGATTCATGTAGCCCCAACCCCACTTAGGGTGCGTTTGGGACAGCTTATCCGTTGCGGCGGCGTTTTGAAAACGTCGCTGCCCCGTTTGAAAAATGCGTTCGGCCCGCTTCTTCAAAAACACAATTTTATTTTTCAATTAAACACGGACCGCGGATCACGTTTATTTTGAACGTTTTACCCTGTTGCCCTATTCAGCCTTCTTCTCTTTTTATTCTATCGGCTTCTCAGCAGCCGGCTTCTTCTCTGCGGCAACCTTCTTCGGTGTCAATGAATCGCTAATCGTCAAACGACAATAGCACAGAGATGAGGGCTGGCGAGTTATTTTTCTTGTCCTGCTTCAAAACCTTCGGCGTTTGCCCTCACCTTACCTGCGCAAGCCAGAGATCTGTTGAACTTGGCGTGTTCCTCTGTTGAAGTCTTCCGACAGGCGGTCCTCTGCTGAAATCTTTCTATAGATGTTCCTCTGCTGAAATCTTCCTACATGCGTTTCTTGTTTGCTGTCAGATTGTTCTATTAAGGAAATCTTCCTCTATTTTTTAAGAAGAATGTTTCGTATTTGTTGGAGACAATGCTTTATCCTTCAAAATTCCTAAAAATGGTTTGGGGATCGTGCTCTGATGATTTCTTGCCTGGCTAGGTGAGGAATCTTTCTAATCTACTTGACATGAAATTGTCCCCAATTTTTTTTTTTTTTTTTGTACCTAGAATCTGGAAATTAAGGTCACTTCCAGAACTAAACGAGTTTAATGTTAAGAATGAGAATGGTTATAGAGTTGGGGAGCTTGAACATGTGTTTAATCCTTCTTTGCTTATAGACTGTTTTTCAATATTATTCCTATCAATTAGAACCTCTGAACGCAGCAGTGGTTAATTGTAATATATACATGCCTTCATGTGCTTTAACTTGACGTATGAAGACATATGAGTGCAATTCTGTACATTGACAAAAGGAAGAATTGAGTTTTATTTGCAACAACCTGTAACATCATTTTTATTTTCTTGGTCTCACAAGCATCAGGTTCCATTCCAATGATGGATGTAGATATTAAAATGGATGTAGATATTAAAGTGCATTCCTAAATTCCACGTAAATTATTTGGGTCTTGTAATATATCCATTGATTTCCTAAAGAAAGCTGGAACTGGAACTTTAAGGCTGATATTTTTTAGAATTTCATGCTGTAAAAACCGGTCAGCACTGAAATCTTTTTTCTTATAAATACAATTAATTCATCTAATAATGCTTTAGAGCTGTACAATTTTTCAGGCTTGCATTACTAACAGCTTTCTTGGCTTTATTAACATCCAGACTCCTCATTTTCTCTTCTTCCTGTTTGAGCCTGTGATAAAATTGAACTTCTTAGGAAAACATTTAAAATTTGTTTTTTTTTAAAGGAATTTTTTCGTGCTCTTAAACTAAAAGTCATTACTTTTGTGAATTTATCATAATTTGTTTAATATATAGGTTATGTTGCATTTATTTCATTTATCTTTATCAATGAGATGCAGTGTTGTTAATGCTTCACAAAATATTCTTTTGATTGTAGGGAAGTAGATATTTTAATGCATGCCAAAGAATTAATATGTAGTAGTTATTTTCCTAGTATATCTTGCACGGAAGTTTGTGTTAAAATAGTAATCTATTTATAAATTTTTGCTCTTAGCCATAGAACTTAGCAACTGCTTTTTTTTGTTTAATTTAACTAACTTCGGTATAAAGGTCCTAACAAATTTCATGCCTTTATTCCCATCAGCTTCAATTGCAACGATTCATAACATAGGCAGTTGCTAAGTTCTGGATTGTAGCATGTAATCCCTTAGAATGTGTGTGCAAGGTGTAGTTAGACATGTAGTTGATTTTTTTTTTTTTTTTGAATATTTATACCCAAAATGGTCTATTTATGATAGTTTAATCAAGGGTAGAAAATGAATTACTAATATTGGTAAATAAAATTTAGCATTGAAGGATAAGGTAGAATATTGATAGACCGAAAGTAACACGAACAGAATTTGTACAAAAAATATTTATTGCAAATCAGTTATTTTCAAAACGCACAAACCAAACAGTTACACAGTTTATTCAAAATAGAGGCATAGTGGTCATTTATACAGAATCAGCTCAAAATGGTCTATTTATGATAGTTTAATCAAGGGTAGAAAATGAATTGATAATATTGATAAATAAAATTTAGCATTGAAGGATAAGGTAGAATATTGATAGACTGAAAGTAACATGAATAGAATTTGTACAAAAATATTTATTGCAAATCAGCTGTTTTCAAAACGCACAAACCAAACAGTTAAACAACTTATTCAAAACAGAAGCAGAGTGGTCATTTATACAGAATCAGTTGTTTTCCGAACGCACAAACCAAACAGTCAGATAGCTTATCTGGATCATCTGTTAATCAGCAGCTTATCATGATAAGTAGCTTATTTGGATAAGCTGGATAAACTGCAGCTGCCCCAAACATACATTTAGTGGTAAAAAAGGTTTGTCGTTATTTGTGTTGTTGTTGTAATGAGCATAGAAAGTATGAAATATGAAAATATCTATATATATTGTAAAATTGATTAAATTTTGACAAATTATCAAGCTGCTTTTGAGTTTTGAACAAAATTTCCAGACCAAGGTAGGAAGTTTATGGCAGTGGTTAAAAATAAGCTAATCGAGTCAACATAAGTTAGCCAAGATGATGAGAGGCAGATGGAGGGAGAAAATGTTGGAATTTGAAAAATAAGAAGACAAACACATCCATAGAGTAAACGTATAAAAAAGGTGACCAAGGGCAAACAGAGGCCACGAATGACAGCAAGAAATAGAGAAGAGGAAATCTGACATTGTAGAGATGTTAGCAATATCTTGAAGATAATCATTCTCCAAATTTGTTACTTTATTCTCAAATTAGATGCTAGCAATAAAATTTAAATCAAGTTTTCCCCTAGCCTCCTAAATGTAGCAAGCAACCTTTTGAGCCATCTGACAGTCTTCTCACGCTACAAGAGTGGAAGGGAGGTTCCCGGAATCCCATGACCGTGCATGCACCTGACTCAAACAAACGCACCCAGCAGACCCGTTTTCAATCCCTTTCCAATTTTTAGAAAGTTTCCTCCTTTCATTTCATTCCTTTCTAGTATTTTCCTATACATGTGTTGTATTGAGGTTTAGATTTCATCTTAGAACGTGTTTTTGTTAGGAAAGCAATCGGTATCCACTATTTCCTTTCTAAGGTTGTATCCAAAGAGAAGTGATGCTCTCCCTGCTCTCATTCCGAGATGGTGATTATTCTTCAAGGGTTGAGTGGTGTTTCGGTTGTATCTCGCTCCCGATGTGGTATTTATCTTCGACTTCACCTCGCCTGCAACCACCAAGCTTCCTTTATCAATCGCATCCTTTGCAGCCGCCATCAAATTCACTGCTGCAGCCGCCCTGCAAAACATCAACTTGCTGTCCCCTGCAACCACCAAGCTTCCCCTGCACTTCCCTCGACCTCCTCTCAGCCGTCTACCATCCAGCCTCAACCCCTACCACCCTCCAGCAATCCTACATCACAGGCAACCTGCAACTCCTCCGTTTTGCTGCTGTCCCGCCATCCTGACTCACTGCCACAACCCCATCATCCCCCCTCGACTTGCTGTATACATGCTGTCCAGCAGCCCCGCACCCCCATTTCGCTGTTTACTGCTGTCCAGTCATCCTAATCGCCGCAGCCTCCTTGTACCACTTTTGTTTTGCTGTTTCACTGATTCCCTGCCACCCTACTTGTTGCTGCCATCTTGGACAGCTAACATCTCTGTTCCCCCGCTGTCCCCGTCCACTTATTCTGCCTTTCCACCTTATCGTCGCCATGTTGGACCACCAACAGCCACCCCTTGGATGCACTTTAGTTGTGTTTGTTGTTGTCATTTCCCTTTCATGGTGTCATTTATAACAGCCTATTTGATTTCAACAATAATATTTGCCTCCCTATTGTTGTTTGGGTCATCTCCAGTATCATAATCATTGTCATCCAACATGCTCATCAGCTAAAGACATAAAAATGCAATTATAAACTATATAATCTAGGAAAAAGCTTAAAGGCAATATTAAATTATTTGGCAAAAAAATTATTGGCTAAATTATTAGTTCTGCATAAAAAACCCAAAAAAACACCATTTGCAATGTAAATATGACATTTAATTAACTATCATCATTAGCCTTGATCCCTCACTAAACAAATATTTTAGATAAGTAGAATGATAAATAAACCGAGAATTTGTGCAGAGTACCTCTACTGATTTGTTGCAGCGCTCAGACATTGTGTGTACTATGCTTAGAAAATGGGATACCACGCCCCCTAGGTTGTCTAAAATCTGTGGCTGAACTTTTATGGCATTTTCAACCTGCAAAAACTCAAAAGTAGGAAGAATATCAGTTACAAAAATAAAACTGCTTAAAAATAACACAATATATATAGCTATTAATAATGTTTGCGCCCAAATTACGAGTAACCTTTTATGTAGAGAAAATCATCAAAACATTGGATAAATAGAATTAATTTTGAAGAAATAGAGAGAATGAGTATCAGGCCATGCAATTATTAGTGTCACCTCTTCAATTCATGGACTATTATAATTATTTTGTGATTATTATTTTACCTACTCATCAAACTATGGACCATTGTAATCATTCTATAATGTTATTCCTTGATTATATATGTTTATAATTAAAAGCTCCCATGGGATTATATAAATACTACGAGGATGTTGGTATAAAACACTCAACAAATTTGTTGCATTACCTAAAACTTGCAAGTGCTTGTACTTGTAAATATTTTTCATTCAACCTAATCTTTTTGTTTGTAGTCTTCACTAATGCTGACTTGTCTCTATCCATATTTATCTTTGTAATTAAATACTACCACAATTTTCTTTCACATGGATCACAAAAGATACATGTTTTCTTAGTCTTAAGTTCTTTTTGAATCAAGACTGACAACCCAAATGCAACATGAGGATTACAAAATGTACATTCATCATATCATTTGAATGATAAGAATTATCTCAAGTTATCATAACTAATTCACACCGTGAAGGGAACAAAAAAAATTGAGTCATTTGTTTGGCATCAGACCACAACAAGCAACCATGCATTCAATACTTGTGATGAACAAAACTCTATGATGATGACCTACTTATGAAACTTCCTGGTTCCCTAAATAAGTAACACCTACATGTTCCTTTAGAAAAGAAAATTTCATATACGATAAATCAAACATATTCCAAAAATCATGAATTTGTCAAAACTATGAGATCAAAACAATGCCCTCAACCACAAAGCAAGAAGGCCAATCCAATAAAAAATAATCCAATCTACTACAAAGTCATTGCAAAAAATGAATCATTATCAATGCATGTAAATAAAATGCAATAAAAATACAACTGCCTTAAAATATAGTTGAAAAATGATTGAAATTATGATTGTTTCGTTGATTTAAACAATGAGCTTGATGTTGTAAGAGAATGAATTATCGGAAAAGAGGACAGAAATTATGATTGCCAATGACCACATATAAGGTTAGGCTCTAATGGTAAGGTTTATTGATATCAAATGCCATAGTTCATAATTATCTTCTTCCAAGGAGCAAAAGGAGACACGCCCAACAAATATAGTTAATAAAAATTCCCTATGGTGCACATATTGCAAGAAGGCTTGACATATTTAAAAAAAAAAAAACTTGCTTGAAATATCATGATTAGCCATGATTAGCCAGCTATCCAGTAAAAATGGAAAATATTGAAAGAGGAAAATATAAAAAAGAGACATACGAATGTAACATATATGAAAAAAGTAGACACAAAAAACTTTACCCATCAAGTTGCAGAAAAAAGGAAAAAAATTAAGAAAATTATCCGAATCAGTAGAAAATGACTCCCAACTCCTACGACAAACACTTGTTCTTCTGCTTTCTCAAATACTACCTCCTCTTCTCGTGCTCGAAAATCTCTGCTATGCTTAATCCCAACACTTGGATTATTCATTCAAAAGTAACAGATTATATAGCCAATTCATCACGCAAATTTATTTTCTATATTCGCTATTCTAATAACAAGAAAATAAAATTGTCAGTGGTTTCTTGAAAATTGCAATTAGCTAAGATTCAAGAAGAAAATTTGGTAAATAAATCTCTCGCACTTCTAAATATTCTCCAATTCCTAAATTATTCATCAACTTACTATTTATTTAAAAGTTAATTGCATATTCAACATGAAGTATTGTATTTACTTTCACATTGCGTATTTCAAGGCAGGAATGAAGAATAAAATTGAGTTTATTAAAGAAACAATGTCTACCACCTTAAGGAATCAAATTATAAAGAAAAATTCCAAACTGCATGTCGTTAGTTGCATTACGTTTCCTTTCTAAAATCAATAAATCCAATAATAAAGAACAAGCTTGCAACACGTACATTTTGGACATCTTTTTTTGTTATTCTAAAAATTATTTTTTATTCATGATTCAAAAATATTAATGTTAAAGGCTTTTAATGTGATACTTGTCAGCTATTAAAACAAAAGAGTAACAATTTTCCAACAAGTAACATAAGGACCAAAAATCATTTTCCTCTCGTTCATAGCGACATCTAGAAATTATCTGCTACACCAAACACTTCTGTAACTTGATAGGTTGTCTTTAATTAATAATAACTCCTCTGCGACATGGATTTTTTAATAAAAGCCAAAAAAGAGGTATCACCTTCCCTACCTTTTAAGGCATTATGAAAAATCAATTTAATGTTGAAATTAGAAGAGTTAGGTGTCATAATGCTAAAGACCTTTATAATCACTCATTTTATATTTATAAGAAAAAAGGAATAGTATATAAGTCCTCTATAGCATATATACACTTCAACAAAATGGGATGGTTGAAAAAAAGAACAGCCAGCTATGTGCTATAACAAAAGCTTTCCTTTTTTAAATAAATGTTCAAAAATAACATTAAGACAAAGCTGATTTAACAACCGCTCAAATCATAAATCGATTAACTACAAGAGTAGTTGGATTCAAGAGTCCTACTCATATCCTACAAAACTCTTTAATCACTTCACCACCTCAAATAAACTTATTCCCAAGATATTTGGATAGTATTCTTACACTTAAAATTGTAACTAAGCTATCACTCTGCATGAGAAAGGTACATATGTCTATTAATGTCATTTTCATAAAATGAGAATTATACTTAACAACTACTTACCCCAAGAAAAATATCATTCATAAATATATTATTTCCCTAAGTTGTCCTTCATTAACCTAATCCTAGCAAACAACTATGCTATATAACTACCTTCAACTCAACCAATAGGCATAAGTTAAATCAACCAACTCAATCCTTGGCACAAAACTCATTGAGAGAACCATTGAGCCAAAAAAATAATAATAATAACTAAATAACATCTTCAAACTTGTTCTTATATACAAAAATTTTTGTCATCATCATCAATCCTTTCTTGCTAATCTCCATACAATTTATATCCCAAAAATCATCTCTTCAATAGCATATGACTATAAGAAAAAAATGAATCGCTTCAAAAAAATGAAATATAAGAATAGGCAAAAGTACCAAAAATGAAAGAAACCAATATGTTGTAAATGGATCTTGACTATAAAGTATGAACTTAATAGCATATTAAAAAGGATAATCCGAATTAGTAGCAATCTCACTTAAATATATGGCATTGATTAAAATGAAACTTTTCCTCATGCTGTTAAAATCAATTTTTTCGAGTTCTTTTTCATCAGCAACTAACAATAACTTAAAAATGCAACAATTCTATGAAAGAATGTCTTCTTACACAGTAACATATAGGAGAAGATATATATGGAGGCACAACTAGGGTTTGACTAAAATATAAAATTTATAGTGAAAAAAGTATTATATGGATTAAAACAATCATCAATGTTATGATTTGAAAGATCACCAAGGTAATGCTCAAATAGGATATAAAAATTCAAGACAATCATACAATATTCAACAAATGCTTGGATTCAAAACGACACACAACTGGTTTATGTTAACATCATCGCAATAGATAATGAATTAGAAGATATGAAAACTTTTAAAGAAGAGAATGTTTCAAATGTTTCAAGAATTTGAATTAAGAATTATACTAAAATACTTTCTTAGCACTGAAATTGCACACTCTCAATATGAAAAATTTATATCATAATAGAAATATATAATTAAACTATCGAAAGAAACAGGCAAACTAGGAAGCAAGCTTGTTGAAAATCCCATGAAATTTAATCATAACTTTAGATAAGAACCAAAAGACACACGATCATAGCTAAAAGCTCCTATTAAAGACTTGTGGAAGATTATATACTCGCAAATAATAGACAAGACATTATCTGTATTATTATTGTGGTAAGTCAATTCATGCAAATGCCTAAATAGTCACACCTTTGAGCTATCCATCAAATTTTATAATATCTAAAAATATCTCAATGTAAGACATACTATTAAAAAAAATGAGAATCTAAAAAATGAAGTTTATATAGATGTACATTATGTGAGATCAATGATTGATAAAAGTCAACTTCAAGATGATGCACATTTTAAGGAAGCAGCCTCATGATTTAGATAAGTAAGAAAATTAAATATAGTGACAGAATCTAGTGTAAAAATTAAATTTAAATCTCTCACACTAAGAATCTGTGTTATTTTAAAATATTTAAATAGCAATATTAAACAAAAAATTCAGCCAAACAAACGTGCACAATGATACTTACTTTTGAATATCCTTAGTGAAAATATCCATAATCAAGACAGAGGACATTTAATAATGATCCTTAATATAAATATGTTGTTACATCCCTCCATGGAACCTAACATGATTGAAACTTCTAATTATAATGAAATTACTTCAAATACTAGAACAGTTTAATCCTTAATATCAAAATATCTCTTTTTCAATCATTTGACATCCATTTAGCCTTCATTATTTTATAAAAAATATTTGCTAGCCAAACTACTATGTTATCATTACAATTCATCAAATCTCCAAAGTATCTCATTTAAACCCAAAATCTACATAAACCTTATTAGGTGACTCAACTACTATTTTTTTAAAGCAATCTACAATACTACTCATTAATCTAATCATTGTCATTTCAAAAAGATTCTTTTCATTGAAATTCTCATTTAATAATCCTTGAAAATAGCATTTTCATCTTATACAACAACAACAAGCCTTTATCTCACTGAGTGGGGTCGACTACATGGATCATTTTTCTTCATTGCATCATAGGATGTCGTATTTTCATTTTATTCTAATAAATTAAAATCATTTTTTTATAAAACAAGCCTGATTCTTTTTAGGTCTACCTCTACCTTTCTTAACATAAGTTGAATCTAAAGCATCTAATCTCCTAACAACAAGCATTTTCATCCTATGTTATTTCAAAAAGTGTTTTTTTTCACATTAGAACCCTTACTTAATGATCCTTCAAATTAGCATTTTCATCTTTATTTCATCTTTTATTTAAATGTTATTATCATCGCTTTTAATGCATCTTTCTTGAACAAAACACTTTGGATCTATTATCCTAGCCATAGTTATTTTATATCTCATTTTTTTCTTCTTAAAAACCAAGTTATTTACATGTCTCGCTCCTGTGAAGCGTATTTCTTTTCACGTATAAACTTTGCACCTCCATAGTACTCAATCCACCACCAACAATCCTTCTTTATGCAAGATTTCCTTTTAGACTCTTTGAAAACAAATATAATTATCATTTAAAGGAACTGGACCATCTTAACCCAAATCAAGTTTTGAATGACGATAGAATTTCTATTAACAACCTCTTTTGAAAAACTATAGCTTACCAACTTTCAAGATCCCTCATTTTGTCCTGTGGAAATTAGGTCCTTTGATTATTTTATTTATGCTCCTGATATATATGTTCATAAATAATACAGCTATTCTATGTTATATGGATAAACTTTCTGTTGGAATCAACTTGCAATCACTTTGATTGGGTTTTTCCTTTTTAAGTAAAAAGGTCTATTAAGTTTCACTTTTCAAACATTGTATAAAATTTTCTTTTCGAGTTTGATATTTTATAATAAAATGGGTAGAACAGAAAAAATTAAAAAGTTGGTAGTGTGCTTATCTATATATATATCTTTTATAATAAAATGGGTAGAACAGAATAATTAAAAGATATGGCTTCAAGAGAAACACAACAATATATATATATATA